TTTTTGTAATTCTCTTATCCATGGTGTTTGCAGGGAACTACTGTATTTAAAAGTCCGAATTTTCGTAATTTCTTATGGAAAATTGCAGAAGGAAGGTAGTAAAAATTTTGTATTAAAATTGATTTATTATTTCGGGCAGTAGCAACCGCAAAAGTTGTATTATATAAGGGCAAAAGTTGTATTATATAATTCATCTTAATTGTAGACAATGGATTAATTACCACCAAAGGGTTAATTTTCGCTTAAATTTGTTCTAATACAGTGGTAGACATTCGTTTGTACGCAACATATTTTTTTTAACTTTTGAAAGAAAGTAAATAGTGTTTTAAGAAAAAAAGTTTGCGAAATAGTTTGATACTATCTTCGTTACAAAATAATAATATAAAATTGTAATATTTTTTGCTCTGTTAGCAATTCCAGAGAAAAAAAATCAAATTTGTCTGAGACATTCGTTTGTACGCACTTTACATAATTTATAATAACCATAAAAATAATTTGTAAATTTGTCTTTTTCTTATCATAACATTTAGTAGGACCTTCTAATTGTTACTGACATAATAGATTTCATTAGATTTTGGATAGGTCAACTTTTAAAGCGCTTCGAAAAGAATTTCCGAAGGTCATGCTCAAAAAAATTGTTATGTTATTTAAATGCTAAAAAAGAATGTTTTTTGTTTATAAATTATTTCAGCTAAGATTTTAAGAATGATTTTGATTGGTTGTGTCTTAAAAGTCCGCCTGGTTAAGGAAGAGAATTAAAATCTTTGTCGGAAAATCAATCCAAACCCTTGCCAAATAGCCATTTTTGGATAGAAATTGTATCTCAAGTCGCAATTTTTCATTATTTTTTCTGCTAAATAATCTTCTAATAAATCAAAGAATATTCCAAATCTAATTTTGGGTGAAAAAATTCCGATGGAAATCTGAAATTTCTATAAGAAACATGTCTAATGCACCACAATTTTCCAATCGAAATGTAATTTGTACTTTTAGCGGCGTTTTGGTTTAATTCGCACAATACGTTATTATAACGCCTTAAACAATATAAGTTTAAGTTATTTTCACTTGAAAATATTAACTTTTCGAAGTTATTCATATACGATATCGGGCCTTATGGAGAGTGCAGTTTTCTGTCCTTATGAATCTTAATAAATCTTGGTTTACAAGCAATTCTTAACACAGTAATGAATAAATCAAGGATAAAGGAATGATAATAGATCTTTTTACTGCAAGGATATAATTTTTGTCTTTATTTCATTAAGAAAATAGGGATTTTGTGTCATAATTTTTGGTTTTTTTTGTAACATTACTCTCGTAAAATCGATTAAGGAAACCATTTTTCAACATTTTTTCATAGTTTTATGCTATTTTTAATACACCATGAGTATCTATTTGGAAATATTAAAAAATCTTGTTCAAAATAATCTTAAATTTTGACATTTTAATAAAATATTTCCTAATTTAGCTTCGACAGCGATCAAATCGCAATTTCTACAAATAATATATCTTTATAAAGATTTTTCTAATTCGTATGGCTATAAAATATATTAATTTTATATCTAAACCCCAATACTCGCTCAAAAGAATTCAATTAGTCTCGTAAAAGTAATAATTACATGACTGCGTACAAACGAATGTCTCAACGAAAATTAATTTTTTGTCTAATATTTTTATTAGAGACAAATATTTTATAATATTTTTCTATTATTTAACAACTATGGTGTATTCAATCCAGTTTCTAAAAAAAGTTTTACAATAAACCCAAAAATGGCTTTAAAAATCAAAGAAAACATGTTGCGTACAAACGATTGTCTATCACTGTATACCTATTTATGCCTATGCTCCATCTTAGACTTAGAGTTTCATTATTTTGTCGATCTTAATTTCGCACTGAAAAAGTGATGACTTGAACCAATGTGCATTGGGCTGATAAAATTTACAAGAGAAACAATTTATTTTTTATTAATTTTTTGCTAAAATGTTGCCATTAAATTGTTTTTTTTACATTTTATCGTAAAGCAATCGTAATATACACAGAATTAGTGTTTCAAAGAGATATAGAAAATCGCAATTAAAAATTTTCCAGGCCAGTAACGTGTTTCATTGCACTTTAATACGAAATGTGACAAAAATATTATAATAAAACAATTTAATTACATATGTAAATACATTTTGTAAAAGTAGTAAAATAAGAGAAAAATAAAAAATATGTATTCTCAAAAATATGAAAAGTTAACGAACGAAATTCAAGTACAAATGTATGTCTCTTTTATTGTTTTTATATTGAAAAATAAAATACAAATTGCATAAAATTTAATAAAAATCATAGATATTTTCCAAAATTTTTAATTATAAAAAATTTATTTTACTACTTTTTACTCCAAAAAAATATTCAAGCCAAAAATATTAAAAGAGAAAAATATTTTCATTTAAATTTGTTTGTGTACAAAAAAGTGAAAACTTAAAAAAATCATAAGAAATAGTAAACCTAGCAAAAAAAAAAAAAAACGAATAATCACTCAAATATGAATATTTGTCCTTACAACCCTGCAGGAAATGAAGCGATAATTGTCTTAATGCCACTAGTACTAATACTAGAACAACAGACACTAGTACAAATTGGGTTAGAGTTTATATGGAAAAATACTAGTACTAGAAGTAGTTGAATGGCGCCACTTGTAGACTGATTTTTGTTTGACATGTGTTGGAAAAAATAAAATTTTTAAATTATTAAAATATAATTTTGAAACATTTTGCATAAAAAACGATATTTTCATACATATCCCTTCAAATGAGAGGATAAATAGTGCATGCAAATTTAGGTCCGGTTCCAGGCAAATCCCTATATAAGTACTTCTATTAAATTTAAAAACTGCAATAAGTTTAATATTTGTTTTATCGTACGACAAATGTTTTTATAACGAAATGGAGATATTTACCTGAAGGAATTATGAAATTATGAAGGACATAATGAAATCAATGATGGTGATACTGATAGAACCAGAATTTCTTCAAACTTTCAGATTGAATTGTTAGGTAAATGTATTTACAACATTTTTTATTGTTTTTTTTTTTTTGTATCTTTAGAAATAAAACCTTATAAAAAACTAGTTGTGTAGTAATTTTTACTTGGAATTGTGCAGGAGGATTTCAAAAGAGCAAAACCACCAATTATGGCGACTTTTTATGAATATTAGAACTAGTATCAAACTGTTTCTAAAGAACCCAATTGGGTCCAAGTGTACTAGTATAAGTCTAGAACTAATGGTACTAGTAATTTTTCAAACACACTCAATGTTAATTTGAGCATTGATGGTATAGGAAAGTTTGCAGTTGGGAACTAGTACTGATGATTTTGGTACTAGTAAAATACTAGTTTGGTACTAGTTCCATTTCCTGCAGGGAAGAACCAGTTGTAATACTGTACATATATTCCTGTAATTTTTAAATAAACCAGATAAATAAATAATATTTCGATATGGTCCATGCAGCTGTCTCAGCTATGGCATAAATGCAACAACCTAGAGATGGAAACTCAGACTCGACAACTACATATGTACATATGTTACCAAAACCCATTCCTTTCAAAATTGGAGAAATTGTAACAACGGAATTTCCCCTTAACTCTGGGGTAGATCAGCGTTGTCCAGGGTCGTACAGAAATTTATTTTTTTTTAAACGTTATATAAATATCATATTTATTAAAAGGATAATTAAAGGCTTTAAATTTAAAGAAATTAACATTTAACACACGCACTAATTGAACAGGTCAACGAAATTTCTTATAAATTTTGTAATTTGCTTAACAAAATTGGTTAAAGTTTGAAACCGGAGTTTTGAAATTGCCGTTTGAAGGATTTTCCATTTATGCATAAATAGTCATGACTATAGCCCAAATACGATTTACGCTATGTAATAAAAATAAAAACTCACAATTAAGTTAATACGAAAATATTTAATGTAATCACATGGGTTTTAGGATAGTTCTCAAAATGTGTACAATTTTTTTAAATATGTCTCATTGAAGTGTTTTGTGACACTAAATGATCTGAGGAATTTGTAATAACTTTTAGAATTTTTGACCGATTTTCCTCCTATCTACCTAACCTAATTACTAGTACCCATTCTGATTCACAAAATAATTCTTTTGTATCAATTCATAGGATTACAACGCCTATGCCTAAATTAAAATTGTATGTATTGTTACAGTGGCGATAACTCAATATATAGTTGTGACGATTTATGTTAAACATACTGCATTTTCTTTTAAAAAATAATTCATCAATTAAGGAAAATATTTTACATAGTTAGTTAATATTCATCGTGTTAAATTATTATCTACTATCGAAAAATTAAATAGCACACATACAAGGTCCTTTGAGATTTTGCGTAAACTCAAAAAAAAAATTAATCATAATTTAAATTTATTATGAATTAACCTCTGAAATCTGGAAAGGCCAATAATTGGTAATAGCTCCCATATAAAGTTTTTCGTGAATCGGTCTATATTTGGTAATAGCTCTTATGTAAACGGACGACATTAAGAAACAACCATATAATATTCACAGAATTCAATTCTGTGCAATTGTCGTTGCAAAAACCAAATTTAAACTTTCAAAATTAGAAAATGCAAATTCGGCGTTTTTATAAAAAACTAGCTATGTATGTATGTAGGGGTTTAAAATTCGGCATAGCCGAATATTGCACTCTAAATTGTTTTTATCGATTATTTTCACAATATCTTTTGTTTGATCTTATAAATATTTCATTAGCTTATAAATTTGAAGTGCCGTTATTATTACTATGGAATTGTGGAAAATAATTTTTCCATACTGCTATAAAATGTAGACTATTATAACAAATATTATTGTATTTGATTTTAAAAATATAGTTGAAACTCCAACGAGAAATAATTTATACCAATTAAAAATTATTTATGAAATTGAAGAATAATTTAAATGTAATATTTATAAATGCATAATTTATTTTTTATTTTCTAGAACACAAAACACGTAAAATTGTGCCATTACTATATGATGAAAGTGTTGATATTCCAAGAACATTAAAAATATATACACTTTTGCGATACAATTCCGGCACATCGAGTTTATTTAATTTTTGGTCAAAGTTGGCAAATTCTATACAAAATGTGAATATTACTGCAGACATTTCAACACTTTCAAAATCGAGCTGTAAAAATGAAACCAACAGGCAAGTACATCATGTTATACATAAAATTATTTTATTTTCTTTTTTTACTGTTACGGCTAATTAAATACCGATCCCGAAAATGCCGAATTTCGGGATTTGCCAAAATAAATTCCTTGTTTAGGATATACGGAATTTTTTAAAATATTTTTTTAATTCTTTAAGCCTTAATATCGTCAAATTAACTTGAAAATTACGGTTTTAATTTTTTATTTATAAAAAACTTAGTTATGTTGAATTTTTTACATATTTTATCGAGATATTGTTGTAAAATATTTCTAAGTAATCTGAACTGGGTTCGCGATACTGGTATACATACACTGGCGAGCAAATGTGCATGTTTGTAACTTGTGCACTTTATTTTAATAAAAATAGAACTAAAAAGGCAAATTTTTTTTATATTATATTTAACAAAATGAGTTACAATTTAAATCAAAAAGCATAAATTTCTAAGTAAAAAGAGGAATCCCATTTGGCCAACATTTTGTAAACACGTAAAGGAAGGTCCATAAGGTGAAGAAGAAGGGTTAGCATATCCGCTCGGAGACCTTAAGGTCCATTGTGAAAACTTAAATATTAAGAACTGTGGCAACCCTGGTATTGTCCAACCGTATATATATATATATATATATATATATATATATATATATATAAGTATTTTATATAATAAAGAAAAAAATTATAGAAAAGTGTCCTAAAAGTCCAAAAAGTAATTTATCACAAACAAAATATTGTATTTGCTTTTATCATTTTATTTTTATTCCAAATAAAGTGCACAAATTACAAACTCGCTCGCCAGTGCTCATCATTGCTGTTTAAAACGCATAGAATACTTCTCACTAAAGAGGACTACCCGGTTTTCTTCGCCCGCTATTTTGTTACGGAGTCTTATTTCAAATGTTAAAAAACCCGGATTGCTGCAGTTGAATGATTCGGTTTATTGTAAAAATGCATTTTTTTAATATTCGGTCGTTAATTTTTAAAAATAAATATGAAATAATTGTTTTATTAGTTGTGTGAAAAATAATTATGAACTTAATTTATCGCTAATTATTTCATAAATATTTATATACGGCCACCGATTTTCTGAAGGAAGTCTATAGGAATTTAGGTTTATATTGACCCTCATAAAATTTAGTTTACGACTTAAGTTCATTTCCCAGTAAAAATTGGAGCTTACATGCAAGCAGGTATGTAAGGGAACGAAGCTATTTTCTCCCTTACAAACCTGCTTCCCACTTGGAAGCATTACTTTTTAAAAAATGAAGCGTGTTTTCACTCATTACATTCAGCTGTGAGTAACAGCTATAAGTAAGCACTTATTTCATGTTTCTATGGCATTACTTCTTTCATTGTTTACAAAAAGCTCTTCCCTAATGCTTTTCCAGAAGACGTGAATTCATAGCTGATGTGAAGCTATTACAGTATTGCTTATATGCAACCCTTTCTTCATGGGATTCTACACTCAATGGTATTTCTGAATGTACACTGTTTAAAATATGTAAAATGGCTGATGTACTTGCCACAGATATTTTCTCTTAATGTCCCGTTTATATCATCAGCTATTACATCTACTTCTGAATTCTCAAAATTAGAAACAATTTCGATATTTGGAATTTCTTCGGGACTATTTTCTGTTGCCTTCAAGAGATTAAATAAATTTTTATTTACCTCTTTTCTTTTTAATTTGTTAAATAGTCTTTTTCCAACCACTTTCGGCATATTATTTAACAACAACAGAACTAACTATTTCAAAAAGAAAAAAACAAAACAAACACAAAACGCCGTTAACTTTTCTATAAATCAAAACATAAACACAAAACAACACAAACTGTACATGGACAGAAGCAGAAGTATTAAAAAACAGAAACAAGAAAAACCAAAAGCAATAATATACTTACACTATAATAAACACACACTTTAATAAATTTTAAAAAATATATTTCTTACATTGAAAATGTATTAATTAATTAAAATCACTTTATAGATTTATATTTATAATAAAATCTTTCTATATTTTCTAAGAATTTTTTTTTTACACTTTTATTTACGTCTTATCTGCACAAATGCAACTCGATGACTAAACATTTTTTTATTATGTAATTTAAAATGTGTTTTTTGCCAGAAAAGACTCGATGAAACTGCCGATTTCAATAGCCTTTGCAATACAACCTGCTTCCTTGAGAGAGTCAAGAGTAAACTTAAATATTATTTAAATACTTCACTTACAACCTGCTTCTCCGTAAGGGATAGTAGTAAGCTTTTATTTTTTTCAGCTGACATTATAAAATTACTCCTATCATTGGTATTCCCTTATTTCCTGCTTCTCAGTAAGGCTTAATAGTAAGCGAATACAGATGCAGTTAGGTCCCTTTATAGCTTCCTAAAGTCTAAAAAATTTTTTACTGGGTTATTGCTTTTTTATGACAGGTGCGATACTAATATTTACAAGACTAATATAAACATAAAAACAATTTTCTGAAATGGGCCTTATATGGGCATTGGGTCCGAATAAAAAAAAACTTTACAGAATTATTTGTAGATCCTTAAAACATTCTCCTGACTAATTTTATAACGATTGCTGCATAATCGAGGCGCTTACGAGTATTTAAGCAGGGCTATGTCGCTAAATAGTACCAAATTTTTCCCATATATATTTAAGCTTCTGATCTGTAATTTAACACTAATCAACTCTGGAAATGGTTTTAAGTCCATTGGAGTCCTTTAAGCTTAGTTAAGTAATCTTTTTTTTTTTTGGGTTTTACTAACATTAACCTGATTCACATAATATTAATTGTAATGGTAAGGGAATACAATTCAATATAATTCCTGATTTTTCCAGATGACGATAAATTTAAACCCATTCTTCGGATCTTTCTATATTCATGTAAAAGCAGGGTCCGAAAATGATAATTATTTTTAAACTTTTAAATAAAAAAAGCAACCACAATAAAATATCGGAAAACAACATCAAGTATACCATTTTGATCATCGTGGACTAAATTTAAAGAAAATGCAATGCTTTTTTTGAGCAGAAATAAAAGTTATTTTTTGACTTTTATTTTTTCGAGCAGAAATAAAATTTATTCGTTGACTATTATTTTTTCGAGCAGAAGTACAAGTTATTTTTTGAGCAGAAAAAAAGTTGTCGCTTTAGAATCGTTTATTTTCCAATAATCAAAAAATAACTTTTATAACTACTCGAAAGATAATTTTTATTTCTGCTCAAAAAAATAAACGTCAAAAAATAACACTTATTTTGTGACTTTTATGATAAAAGTCATAACAGTTACGGTCCCTGTGTAAAAGTGAAACATAATGAATACACGTATTTACATATATGATAGATTTGCTGCATTTCACCTTGTTTTAAAACCGGTAAAACAATTTTTCCAAAAATTAACTAATTTTCCATTTGATTTCCAAATTTATTCTCAAAGGCTCTGTATGACATTTAAATATGTTTTCAAATATATATATATATATATATATATATATATATATATATATATATATATATATATATATATATATATATATATATATATATTAACATGATTTCAATGGTTTTTGCTTATTGGGAACTTCCAAATGGAACAACACTTTGTCTTAAATTTTTGCAAACAGTAATTGTACTTTTAACCAGGGTTTAATATTTAGTTTTTAGTTTTATTTTTTTAAATGTCGACTGAACTGAAGAAAGTTCAAGTATTTATTTTTCCCTCACAAGCTAACTGAAGTCAGTCAACTGTGTCAACGCACTGCTGCAATAACTTGCAAGTGGTTTTGTTTTTCTTCAGCAGCCACACACACAAGCAGCGGCCATGTTAAGTTTTTCAACTCAGCCAAACTGAACAGTAAAAACAGATTTGCGTGTGCTGCTTACGTATTGCTTAGTTCTTGGTTTCGTTTTCTTACTAAGGGACGTAAAAAAAACTGATAGTTTGACTGGTTAGTACAAATCAAGCTGACTGAACAATAAAACTTGATGGGTTGTTTGTTCAGTAAGACTTTGTTATTGTATGCAATTTGTTTTAGTATATTGTATGTTTTTGTGTTTAAATTTGACAAAAGTAAATAAAGTAATTGATAATTATTGCTAATAGAAATTGTTAATTAATTTAAAATTTATAAAATTATAAATTACTATACTTATAAATTTAGATATTTTCTTTAAATAAAAATTGATTTAAATTTAAGCATTTTGATGATTTTTTAGTGAGATTTTGTTATTGTATGTATGTATGTATGTATGTATGTATATTAAGGTGGGTCGAAAATAGGCTTTTCGCTCGGATCAACATCTAATAGTGAAATTATGTTGTATTTTAACGTCAAATGGAAGACTGTAAAATATTATTCAATTATAAATTGGTTAAAAAAGTTTTGAGTTATTAAAATTTCCCCCGAGAATTTTGTGATTCTGAAGACATATAAAAGTAAATATAATAAAATTTTTGTTAGTTTTGAAAAATTTTACAAAAAAATATTATGTTTATGTAAAAATTATATTATTACCAATTGTTGCTTAATTTTGATCAATTAAATTGCGATTATTATTTTCGAGTCCATGAAAAGTTATTTCTGATAAAATTTCCGAAATTAAAAATCATTAACCCTCTAAAAACCGGGGTCAAAATCAAGTTTTTGTATATTTAATATTCTTCATTAAAAATAGCAAAATATGGTGTATTTAATTATGAATTCATTTTGACAAACTACACAAAAATATATCCAGAAATCTAGGAATCAAACTTCTTCAAAAAATAACCCTCTGTCATACTTGGGGTCAATTAAAGACCGATTTTTTAAACACTACAAAAAACACTTTTAAAAAGGAATTTTCTAAAATTAATTTTCTTTAAGATTTAATGGATATATATCCAGTATTTGGTTTATCGTATTATTTGAATGTAGTAAAAATAAATTCTAAGAAGTTTCATCAATATCCATCAACAAATTAACAACATCATGCTCTTATTTCTTCAAGAACATAAAATTCA